CGAGTGACCGGTAGGCAGAGGAGTGGACTGAGGCGAGGAGTACGTGAAGCCGAAGCGCTGGAGAACCTGCTGCACCATGTGTGACTGAGTCAGGGTGATGGTGCGCCGTGCTCTATCCCGGGTGATCCGCAAGCCAAGATAGCTTGTCAGCTCACCCAGGTCTGTGCACGTGTGTCTCCTCTGCAGCTCCGACTTCACGTAGGCGAGTCCTGCAGTGTCAGCAGTGGCAAAGACCAAGTCGTCGACGTACACGAGGATGTAGAACGGCGGCAGTGAAGTGTCGGTGCGCAGGAACAGCGACGGGTCAGCTGTAGAAGGCGCGAACCCAAGAGCCGCAAGTGTAGTCCTCAGTGTGTCGTGCCACTCACGCGGAGCCTGGCGGAGACCGTAGACCGGCCGCTGAAGCCTCCACTGGGTACCAGGAGGAAACGACCCAGTGAAGCCAGGTGGGCGGCGCAGCCAGATCTCCTCGTGCAGGCTGCCTCGGGGTGGGGGAGAAGGTCTGGAAGAAATCAACTCCCTCTCGCTGACTGAAGCCTCGAGCCACGTAACGCGCCTTGAAGACAGGCGGAGAACCTGGCGGCCGCTTCACCCTGAAAATCCACATGCCACTGACGATGTTCGTCCCAGGAGGGGGAACCTCGTCGACGTAGGTGCGTGTGGACTTCCAGGAGGCCATCTCGGCGTCCATGGCTGTCTGCCACTGAGAGGAGTAGGGACCCGCCATCGCCTCAGCGTAAGAGCGCGGGTTCGGGATGTCTGGTGCATCCGGGTCTCCCTCAGGGGCAACTAGCAAGGACACGAGACGGGGCAAAGCAGCAGCAAGACACTGGAACTCCTCCTGTCTGTCCTCAAGGACGTCCGTGCCAAGAGCACACTCACCCTCGACGGACGGAGGACAGACAGACTCAGACTCAGACTCAGCAACAAGGCTAGCAGTGTAGTCTAGACGACAGGCAGCAGCAAAGTCAACCAACTCAGCGACCAGAGCAGACGCAGTCGAGGACTCAAAGGTAGGGTCAGTGACAACAGTAGCGAGGAGACGCGTGACAGTAGGGTGCTCAGCACGGTACCGGTCAGACTCAGGGTCCGGAACGTCAGGCAAAGAGGACGCAAGAGGAGACGGTAGAGGGACACGCTGAGGAGCAGTAGAGGGACGCAGAGTCATGTAGTGAGTGCCTGGGACAGGAGGAGGACGCTCACGACGGACACGACTACCAGTGCGAGCAGGACGAACAGGCGACGCAGGACGAGACTCAGGCTCACGACGCTCTGTAAGACCTCCTGTGGGACCAGTGTAAGGAGAGGGAGCAGGGAGAGGCGAGGTAGGCGGTAACTGTGACTGCGGCTGGACAGGCAGAGGACACTCTACGGAGGGAGGAGGACAAGGAGGAGGAGCCTGCCCAAGAACCTGCTGAAGGAGCGGTACGAAGTACGGTCGCGGCCGCGCAGCGTCTCCAGAAGCAGAGGAGACTCCAGCGGCCGGGTCCACAGCACCAGCAGCAGCTCCACCGGCCGGGTCCTCAGCACCAGTAGTAGCTCCAACGCCCGGGTCCTCAGCAGCAGCAGCAGCGCCACCGCTCGGGTCCTCAGCTCCAGCAGCAGCTCCACCGTCCGAGTCCTCAGTACCAGCAGCAGCTCCACCGTCCGGGTCCTCAGCACCAGCAGCAGCGCCACCGCCCGGGTCCTCAGCTCCAGCAGCAGCTCCAACGTCCGAGTCCTCAGCACCAGCAGTAGCTCCACCAGGCGGGTCCGCAGTACCAGCAGCAGCTCCCACGTCCGGGTCCTTTGCATCAGCAGCAGCGCCACCCCCAGGGTCCGCAGCACCAGGAGCACCACTCCGAAGACTGCAGCGCCGTGTGTACCACTCGCGGATCTGCTGAATGGGGGGGAGCTCCTGGGTAGGAGGGGAAGTACCGGGACGAGCTCCAGCAGCACCTCTCCGGAGGCGGCAGTACTCGAGGTACCTCTCCTGCAGCTGCTGGGAGGAGAGGGCTCCTCCAGGTGTAGCACGCTCAGGCTCAGCACCCCCAGACGCAGCACCCCCAGACCCAGCACCCCCAGGCTCAGCACCTCCAGGCTCCGCACCTCCAGGCTCCGCACCTCCTGGCTCAGCACCCCCAGGCTCCGCACCCCCAGACTCAGCACTCCCAGGCTCAGCACCCCCAGACGCAGCACCCCCGGGCTCAGCACCCCCAGACGCAGCACCCCCAGGCTCAGTACCCCGAGTAGGACGAGAGTCAACAGCTACCTCGACAGGCTCACCCGGGTCTACCTGGGACACACCTGAGGGAGCGGCACCCTGAGGGGGGAGGGGGTCTGGTACCTCAGCACCTGGAGCGAGGAAGAGAGGCGGGGGGGGGAGCGGGGCAGTGCGGTAGGGGAAGAGGCGGTAGTAGGGGACGGACTCGTCAAAAGTGACGTCCTGAGAGGCCAGGACACGCCGCGAGGTGGGGTGGTAGAACTGCCAACCAGGGGCGTCCGGGACAAAGCCAAGGAAGACGCAGGGGACAGCGCGACGGGAGAGCTTGTCCGCGGACGTGTCGCGGACAAAAGCTCGGGATCCCCAGACCCGAAAACGCGACGCATCGCCAGCCTCTCCCGTCCAACGCAGTGTCGGAGAAGTCTCGGGCAAGGAGACACGGGGCCAGAGGTTGAGCTGATGCGCAGCGTATCGGACTGCAAACGGCCACAGAAAATGGGGGGCAGCCGCATGGCTCAAGGAGGTACGAGCGACCTCCATGACCAGACCAATGCGGCGCTCAGCAACCCCATTCTGCTGTGGAGAGTCCGGAAGCGTGTACGACTGCTCAATGCCCTCCTGCTGACAGAAGGCCTCCAATAGGCCAGAGGAGAACTCCCCACCTCTGTCAGAGTGCAGACGCAGGACAGGGAAGTCGGAGCGGAAACGCTCACGGAGCTGGAGACGAGATCTGCGTTCCAAGGGATCAAGACCTCAGGGACGTCACCCTTGGCGCGCAAGGGGAAGACCGTGGTGTAGCGCGAGAAGTCGTCAACAACAATCAGGAAGTACCTCTCCTGACCCTGGCCACGGACGCGGGCTGGGCCCCACACGTCCATGTGGAGCGTCTGCAAAGGAGCAGTCGTCGGGGGAAAGGAGGAGGAGTGAGGAGCGGCGCGCTGCCGCCCCTCGACACAGGGAAGACAGGGAGGAGCAGGTGAGGCTGGAAGGGGAGGGAGCACCCTGGGAAGCCCAGCAACAAGGTCCCGTTTGTGCATGGCCCGAAGGCGCTGCACAGACGGGTGACCAAGGCGGTGGTGCCAAAGGACAGTCTCATGCGCCAGAGAGCGACACGAGCAGGGGGCGGACAGCTGACCTGACGCAGACGCAGACGCGGACGCAGCTACCTGAGGGGAGGCAGTGGTCAGTGTGTAAAGGTCCGACCCCGGCTCCCGAGTGAAGGTAGCCAGGTGGCGACCCGTCCGAGCACACGTGCAGTGTGTCACGCGCTCGTAGGCAGGGGTGAACTGGTGAACACCCCCGTCCTGGAGCGCACTGTCAGAATGTTGTATTTGTCTAGCCTGCAGTGGGGTACTCTATAGCGAGTACAGCCCAATCTAGGGTTCCTATATGTACTCAACTGCTTGCTAGTGCAACCCCTCTTTTCTGCCTCTAAACTTTCTACTACCTATCTTGACATGGTATCAGAGCAGGTCGACCCTCCTGGGTCGATCCTGTGGGTGGGCCCACCACCTAAGCCTTCCGCTGCTACTGCTACTGCTACTGCTACTCCCTGTCCGCCGCGCGCCCCGTGGCGCGCGGCGTCGAAACTAGGGTTTTCAGCCCGCCGTGCGCCCCGAGGCACGCGGCGGTTTTCTGCCCGCCGTGCGCCCCGAGGCGCGCGGCGGTTCTCTGCCCGCCGTGTGCCCCGAGGCGCGCGGCGGGTTCCTGCCCCGTCACTCGGCACGTCGCCCCCGGGAGGCGCTGCGACGGGCGACGGGGACCCGCGCGTCGCCCCCCGTCGCCCGTCGTGGCCTGCGCGCGGCCCGTACACCCGGCACGCGGCCCGTACGGGCTGCGCCAGGCCTGCGCGCGGCCCGTACGGGCTGCGCCAGGCCCGCGCGCGGCCCGTACGGGCTGCGCCAGGCCCGCGCGCGGCCCGTACGGGAAGCGCCAGGCCCGCGCGCGGCTCGGGCCGCCTGCGCGCGGTTCGGGCGGCTCTACCAGGCCCGTGGGCGGCCCGTTCCTCGCTGCTCCTGCCCTCTCCACTGTCCCCCGTGCTTCTACCGGCGCCTCACCCCTCCTACAGCCCGTTCTCCTAAATTAGGGTTTGGGGGTGAAGAGTGTGGGGGTGGCGGTTGTGGGGGTGCCGGTTGTGTGCCCCGTCCCCTACTCCTCCTCCTCCTCCGTCTCCCGCTGCTGCAGCTGCCGCTCAGGGGGGTGGGTGTGTGGGAGCCGAAGGAGTGGTGCTAGGGGGGTGACGTGGGAGTGGAGCTAGGGTTCCAGCAGGGGGTGTGTGAGAGGGGGGTGGGACAGTCGGGGGAGGTTGAGCGGAGGCTGCCGTCTTGTCGTCAGCAGCACCTGTAGTCCGGGGCGCTTGTTCCGGTAGCCCAGTCGTAGCCAGCTGTGCCAGTCGCCCGTGGGTCCGTTGCTCGTCTGCCGCTCTTCTTAGCCGCGGAGCCAGTTACTCCTGTAGTCCGGGGCGCTTGTTCCGGTAGCCACTGAGCCAGTTTGACTCCTGTTGCCCGTGTGTCTGCAGCTTCAGCCGACGCCTCTTATCTCCTCTCCACCTACAGTCTCGCCTCCTCCTCCTCACTTGCCCTTTGTGAATGCCTCTAGCTTTGCATGCACTTGTGAATCTGCTCTATGACTGCTTGCTCTGCTGATTATACCCCACTTTGACTATGGGGGTGTGTCAGAATGTTGTATTTGTCTAGCCTGCAGTGGGGTACTCTATAGTGAGTACAGCCCAATCTAGGGTTCCTATATGTACTCAACTGCTTGCTAGTGCAACCCCTCTTTTCTGCCTCTAAACTTTCTACTGCCTATCTTGACACGCACTACCTGCCACCAAGTTCGTAGAGAACGAGGGGAGGTAGAGACCTGAGAGCGTGCCGGACGGGACCGCCGGACAAGGAAGGACAGTGGAGGAGGTCGCAATGACCGGACCCCCAGAGGGGTCAGCAAGGGAGACAGCAACTGGCCGAGCGAGTGGCTCAAGGACAGTGCGGTCACGAAAGAAAGAGCGAGAAGCACCTGAGTCCAGGGTGAAGGTGTGCAGTGCTGCAGTCGACTCAGTACCAGGGGGCACGGACGCACGAGCACCTAGGGCTGCAGCCTCACCAGGACCTGTGGGAGCAGACGCACTAGCACCTAGAGCGGCAGCCGGACTGGCCTGAATGCCCGGGTCGGGCGGAACACGCAAGTACTGAGCACCCTCTCCACTAATAGACATCGCATACATGGCAGTGAGAATAGCATCAAAGTCTAAAGCCCAAATATCAACACCCCTCTTTTCCAGATCAGCCCAGCGCGGCAGCTCAGTGGCAGCAGGAAACTGAGTGCGCCACGCGTCGTTAAGGCGCGCGAAGCAGCGCTGCGTGGGGTGCGGCCTCCCACACTGCTGGCCGCTGCGGTCACCTGTGCGAATGACGTACGTGCAGGTAAAGCTACGCTGCGCATACCACTCACGGGCGGCCTGAAGCGTCGGGGCGGGCTGCTGACTCTGCCCTCCGCCAGTGCCTCCACGACCACCACCCCCACCGCCGCCGCCCCGGCCACCTCCACCCCTGCCGCCGCCACGACCACCTCCGCCTCCGCTGCCGCCTCCACCACCACTCCCACCGCTGCTGTCTCCTCCCCCACTGCCGCCACTAGTCTCCCCAGCCGCGCCTCCACTCCCACCGCCTCCACCCCCACCTCCTCCGCCACCACCCCCACCCCTGCCCCCCTTGTTCCTGCGGCGCCCACTCGAAGCAGACGCGGTCCCGACCTTCTCAGCACCAAGAAGGTCGACAGCAGCAGCAGAGGCGACAGAGGGGAGGAGGGGGGAAGGGGAACACCCCTCAAAGAACGGGGTGCGGGGGTCGCCACGAGAGGTGCCTACAGCGACGATGCTCGCCTCAGCTGCAAGCAGTTCCTTCTCGAGGAGGGCAACAGTGAGCTCAGTGGGGGAGCGAGAGAGGAAGTGGTCCCTGACTGCGCGCAGAGAGTCAGGAAGGCGGGTGACGATGTGGTAGAGAGTGATCCAGAGCGGGGGGGGTTGCTAGTGAGAAACTCGGCAGGCATAGCAGCGCGAAAGCGGGCCTCACTAGTCTTAAGGTGGGTGATGAGGTCTGCGACAGTGTGAAAGGAGGCTAGGTCGGGGAACAGGTAGGGGAGAGTGAGGCGGCCTAGCGTGGCAGAAGCTGGCGAGGAGTAGCGGGCAACTACAGCGGTGTAGAGGTCCTTAGCAGTCTTGCACTGGCCGAAGTGCTCGCGCTCGTCTAGCGGCAGGGAGTTGCAAATAGCAAAGCGAGCGTGCGCATCACGGGTCTGCCACTGGGAACGCAGAGTGCTGTCAGCAGTCGAGTCAGGGGCAGTGGCATGGCCTAGGGCGTGGTCGTACAGTGAGATATCTTCCTTGGCAGTGAGCTGTAGGAACAGGTGCAGGTCATCTAGCCAGGTTTCAAACTTCACTGGACGGCCCTCGGCATCGAAAGCTAGAACTGGCGGACTAGCCATAGTGACAGTAGCAGTAGTAACAGTAGTAGTAGGAATCAGGCCGCTGGAAAGGTGTGCGGAGGGTCAACGGGGCCGGCGGGGCCGCTAGGCAAGGCGCGGGCGGGGTCGACTGTCCGTAGTGGCACACGAGCGGCAGTAGTAGGTAGCGTGGCAGCAGGAGCTGCAACGGTGCACTGGTGTTCGCTGCATTGGCAGCAGTGCGCGCGGTAGGTAGAAGGTAAACAACAGTGAGAGCGAGTGCCTCGCGGGCGGCGGCTGCAGAAGCGCACAGGCGGCAGCGGCGCACTGGGAACGGCGGTGCACGGGCAGCGGGAGCGCACGGGCAGCGGCAGCGTAGGAGCAGCGACGGCGCACGGGCAGCGGCGGCGCACAGGCAGCGGCGGCGCTCGGGAGGCAGCAGTGCGCAAGCAGCAGCGGAAGCAGCGGCGTACGAGCGGCTGCGGGCAGCGGGGCGTGCGCTAGCAGGCGACGGGCGGCTGCGGGGCGTGCACGAGCAGGCGACGGGCGGCTGCGGGGCGTGCGCGAGCAGGCGACGGGCGGCTGCGGGCGGGCGGCCGCTGCGACAGCGGGCTGCGGGCCTGCGGGACGTGCGCGAGCAGGCTACGAGCGGCTGTAGAGCGCGCGCGAGCAGGCGACGGGCGGCTGCGGGGCGCGCGCGAGCAGGCGACGGGCCGCGCGCGACGGAAATAAGGCGCGCGCGGGAAAAAAAAGGCCGCGCGCGAGCGGCTAAGGGGCGGCGCGACGGGGCCTTAAGGGGCGGGTCGCGGGTCGCGGGAGGTAGGGGCCGTAAAAAAAAGTTCGAGGCGCCCTAGGTAGGTAGGTAACGGTGGGCCCTTAAAAAAAAAACGGTCCTAGCGAAGGACCTGCTCTGAAACCATGTCAGAATGAACGGACAGGAATGACTGTACTAGCACAAAGTTGGATACAAGTAGTAAACCCTAATCTAGTGTACCCCCTAAGGTGTAACCCACTACAGCCTACAATCATGTAAACATATAATGTTTGACAAAACAAACGACCTCCATAGCTATTGGTCGATTCATATATCGATCCAATAAAGCATATGGTGTAAAAATATCATTCGATTGAGGATCCAGCCCTTCCAATTCAATCTTTGTCTTCAACAATAACAACCGTCTGCGTGGATGGTTTGTATTAATAAATACAAAACCACGAGAGGTTTTCTTGTATGGAAGGCTCAGAATAAGATAAATAGCTTCTTGTGCACTAATTTCTTGGGTGTTTAATAGGTAGTTTCCAATGTCTCGAAGAACTTGTAAAACACCCGTACCTTGCACAGCGGCAAATCTTCTTGCATTCTCAATAATCTTACTTACACCTTTACCTGATTTCGTCATATATGCAGCAATATATGTTGCCACACTATATGGGTCGATACACAGTTGAATATCCATGTTACCTTGCCAAACAGAAAGTATTAATTTATTGAAGTTGTTCACGTAACAATCCCGTACATCTCTGGCATGAAAAAACGTTCATTTTTTTAGGCCTACACGCAGACAACTAATATAATCGTCGTAAGTTAGGCGCACCGTGTCCAGAAATAAGGCAAAAGTTAAGTTCAAAGTTTCGATGAGGTGATTCTTCCCAAGAGTGTTTAAAAATTCATATACTGTCTTTTTATTTAACCTATGTTTTTCCACATCGGTGCAATTTTTGTCAAAAGGCATCAAAACTAACGTCGTCGGAAGTGGATACTTAGGTATACCAAAACGGCATTTACGCGATGACCGATTCTTTTTTATTCTGCACGTTCTCGTATGGTTATGAGTTTGCACTTTCAATAGGTCGTTTGTTAGCGAATCTCCAGCAAGTTCTTGTGCGTGACACGATATGTGCTTATCGGCAAATGCAAGAATCTTTTCTAGAGGAATTGCAGCATCGCAAACTAAAAACTCACTCCATATTAGGCAATGAGTATGAGGGGCACCTCGATGTTGAAACTCGTCGAGAGCAAAATAGTCTACAATTCCTCCCAGAATTCCGGTTTTTTTTTGTTAAAATCTCTCGAAACAAAGCATTTTTTCGTTCGACGTAGTACCGCGTGTCAGAATCACTAGGCAAGAATGATGAACTAGCAGAAGTTTTGGGTACAAATATGAAACCCTAGTTGGGGTTGTACCCCATATTGGCTACCCCACTACAGCCTACAAGCATACTACAGTTTAACACACCCCCATAGGCAAAGTGGGGGAGAACAAAGGGTCACAAGACCAGTCCAGCAAAGCAAAGCAACGCCCAGGGTGGATCACAACGTCACCACACTCCGAGCACAAGTAAAGGCCACAAGGCCAGTTCACATGCAGTGCTAGATATAGTACAAGACAAGCAACACAGTGATCAAAACCTAGCAAGCAAGCAACAAGATATATATAAAGTACAGTACAAAGAATGTCAAGCAGTGAGCAAGTGAGGAAACGTGGACACAAGGCCTAAAGAAGTACAGTGCCGCTGATGATCACTAGGCGGGAGCGCCTTGGTGAAGATATCAGCAGTGTTGGCCTTCGAGTCCACGTACACAAGCCGAAGCTGACCGCGCTGCTGAAGCTCTCGAGCAAGAAAGTAGCGAAGAGCAATGTGCTTCGTCCTGTGTTCCAGTCTGTGCTCCTGACACAAGGCAAGAGCCGCCTTGTTGTCACCGTACAGAACTGGAGGAGAACTAGGCCGCTCTCCCAAGTCAGTCAGCAGGTAGGTGAGCCAGCGTAACTCCTGTGCAGCCATGGCTGTGGCGTAGATCTCAGCCTCACAACTAGAGCTGAGAACAGAGGAAGAGCGGGTGGACCGCCACGAGACAGAACCTGAGCCAAGGCTGAAGGTGTAACCCTGTGACGACCGCTGCGTAGCCAGGTCGTCCACCCAAGAGGCGTCCGAGTGACCAGTGAGGACAACTCTGTCGCGTCCCCCAAGCACCAGCCCCATGCCTGATGTACTGCACAGGTAACGCAGCACCCTCTTAGCAGCCTCCCAGTGCTCTCGCCTGTGTCTCCCAGGCGCAACGTAACGAGCAAGGATGCTAAGAGGGTACGCGAGGTCAGGTCGCGTGCAAGTCATCAGGTACATGAGGCAGCCTACAAGCTCTGGGTACGGGCCACTCGGCTCTACGGACTCGTCCGAAGGTGGAGCTGAGAGCGAGTGGCTGGTAGCCAGAGGTGTGGCCTGTGGTGAGGAGAACTGGAAGCCGAAGCGCTGAAGGACCTGCTGCACCATGTGTGACTGAGTCAGGGTGATGGTGCGGCGAGCTCTGTCCCGGGTGATCTGCAAGCCAAGGTAGCTACGCAGTTCACCCAGGTCAGTGCAGGTGTGTCTCTTCTGCAGCTCCGACTTCACACGAGCGAGTGCCTCAGTGTCAGCAGTAGCAAAGACCAAGTCGTCGACGTACACGAGAATGTAGAACGGCGGCAGCGACGTGTCTGTGCGCAGAAACAGTGACGGGTCAGCAGTAGACGGCGCGAACCCAAGAGCCGCAAGAGTAGTCCTCAGTGTGTCGTGCCACTCACGTGGCGCCTGGCGGAGACCGTAGACTGGCCGGCGGAGACTCCACTGGGTACCAGGGGGAAACGACCCAGTAAAGCCAGGTGGGCGGCGCAGCCAGATCTCCTCGTGCAGGCTGCCCTGCAGGAACGCTGTGCTGAAGTCAAGAGAGTGAAGCTCGTAGTCACGCTGAGCAGCAACGTGCAGCAGAACCCGAAGAGTGGTCATCTTCGGGGTGGGGGAGAAGGTCTGGAAGAAGTCGACCCCCTGACGCTGACTGAAGCCTCTAGCAACGTAACGAGCCTTGAAGACAGGCGGAGAACCTGGCGGCCGCTTCACCCTGAAAATCCACATGCCATCGACGATGTTCGCCCCAGGAGGGGGAACCTCGTCGACGTAGGTGCCTGTGGACTTCCAGGATGCCATCTCGGCGTCCATGGCTGTCTGCCACTGAGAGGAGTAGGGACCCGAGATCGCCTCAGCGTAAGTGCGTGGGGTCGGGATGTCTGGTGCATCCGGGTCTCCCTCAGGGGCAAGCAACCAGGCCACGAGATGAGGTACAGCAGCCGCAAGAGAGTCAAAGTCCTCCTGCCTGTCCTCAAGGACGTCCGTGCCAAGAGCACACTCACCCCCGACGGACGGAGGACAGACAGACGCAGACTCAGACTCAGCAACAAGGCTAGCAGCGTAGTCTAGACGACAGGCAGCAGCAAAGTCAACCAACTCAGCGACCAGAGCAGACGCAGCCGAGGACTCAAAGGTAGGGTCAGTGACAACAGTAGCGAGGAGACGCGTGACTGTAGGGTGCTCAGCGCGATACCGGTCAGACTCAGGGTCCGGAACGGCAGGCAAAGAGGACGCAGGAGGAGACGGTAGAGGGACACGCCGAGGAGCAGTAGAGGGACGTAGAGTCATGTAGTGAGTGCCTGGGACAGGAGGAGGACGCTCACGACGGACACGACTACCAGTGCGAGCAGGACGAACAGGCGACGCAGGACGAGACTCAGGCTCACGACGCTCTGTAAGACCTCCTGTGGGACCAGTATAAGGAGAGGGAGCAGGGAGAGGCGAGGCAGGCGGTAACTGTGACTGCGGCTGGACAGGCGGAGGACACTCTACGGAGGGAGGAGGACAAGGAGGAGGAGCCTGCCCAAGAACCTGCTGAAGGAGCGGTACGAAGTACGGTCGCGGCCGCGCAGCGTCTCCAGAAGCAGAAGGGACTCCAGCGGCCGGGTCCTCAGCACCAGTAGGAGCTCCAGCGTCCGGGTCCACAGCACCAGCAGCAGCTCCACCGGCCGGGTCCCCAGCTCCAGCAGCAGCTCCACCGTCCGACTCCTCAGCACCAGCAGCAGCTCCACCAGGTGGGTCCGCAGCACCAGCAGCAGCGCCACCCCCAGAGTCGGCAGCTCCAACTCCGCTAGCACCGCCAGCGCCAGAGTCCCCAGCTCCAGCAGCTCCAGTCGCAGTGCTCCCAGAACAGCCAGTCCCGGCAGCTCCAGTACCCCCAG